GATAGATATATAATTAAAGATACTACTATTAACTATTATAAAGGATAGTCCTTAGAAGTTAAAAACCCTAGTAATACTATTAAATTTAGGTCTTAATTAACGCTAGTAAAGATAAGGATCTAAACCTACCTAGATAGCTCTTCTACCTTTATAGTTAAGGTATTTAAGAAAGTCTTAAAGAGTATAGTAATAATTATCTATAAGCTTATATTAGTATAATAGAAGATTATATAGCTTTAAGTAGCTAATAAAGTAGCTATATATTAAAAATTATATAAAAAGAAATAGCTATAGAAGAAAGGAACCCTTATAGTAAAAGATAGTACTTAACTATTAGTTTTAAAGGAGTTTAGTACTTATAGTAATAGGGAGAAGTTAAAGAAAAGGGTATATACTAAAAGAGATTTATCTTAATAACGCTATAGGTAGTATAGTAGGATAGGGTATAATATATATACCTATAAAAGTAACTAGAATAATAAAGAAAATACTATAGAATAATTTATACTTTTAGGTTTTATAAGTCTTTATATAGTTTTACTAGTTTTTATAGTATTTTTAGAGTAAAGATATTAGCGCTAGTAAAGATAGTAATTATACTATTACTTATAGTATAATCTATATAATAGGTAAAACCTAGTAAAGACTAGTAAAGATTATAGTAAAGATATCCTATAAAGATATTTATAAAGATCTTTATAAGTCTTTACTAAGTTTTACTAGTTTTTATAGTATTTTTATAGGTAATAATATAACTATACTAGTAGAAGTAAGAAATATACTATTACCTACTATATAAACTATATAACTAGTAAAACTTTATATAACTTTATAAAGATTTAATAAAGATACTTCTTAGTAGTTTATACTCTTAGGTTTAGTAGTTTTTATAATATTTTATAAGTTTTTACGTATTATACTATAGGTAATAGTATATTTTAATAGGGGCTTAGTATACTATCTAACTTACCTATATATCTAACTTACCTATATATCTAACTTACCTATAGGGTACGTTATAAATACCTAGTTAAATAGTTAAGGTATCTTAAAAGTAAAAATATATAAGAACCTAGAATAAATCTTATAAACTATTAATAACTCCTATACTATTATTACTAAGGCTAAGAGGTAGGTCCTAGTAATCTAAAGAGAAGCCCTTAAAGGTACCCTAGGTACTAAAAAAAAAGCTAAAGAGCTAATCCCTTAGAAAGACCTATAAAGTCTATTAACTCTAATAACTCTTTCTACTCTAGCTTCTATTAACCTTTCTTTTATAGTAATTACTTTATTAGTATAATAATCTAATATATCTATTTATTATTATAGCTACTCTTTATATACCTATAATACTTAAAGTTCTTCTAAGGCCTTTTATAAGCTTAGAATACTACTTCCTATTAATCTTATAACTCTTAGATTTACTTCTTTAATTTCTCTTTTTCTAGCGTAAGCTTCTTAAATTCTAATTATATAACTTTAATATTATAATACTATTCTAGTTTTATATAAGTACTATAATAACTAGAATAAATATAGACCTAATATATATAGTTATACTTAATATAAGTAGAATACTTCTTTACTATAATATTACTAAATATTTTAATAAATTCTATAAGAGCGTAATAACGTTAGGTACTAGATAAAGGGTATTTTAGTATAATAAAAGGAGTAGGCTACTACGCTAAATATAATAGAGGCTAGGCTTACTTATTAACTAAGTTACTAGGTTAGTTATATAACTTAAGGATAAGTTTATTAGAAGAGAAGGATAGTATTATAATCTAAACTAATAGGACTATAAAATAGAGCTACTTAAGTACTAAAACTAATAAAACTATCTAGAAGGATATTAAAGATAGACTATACTATAGTTACGTAACTAATTAAGGGTTAGTATATACTAAGGAAATAATTAGTTAGAACTAATTATAGTAATTAGTATTTAGTAATTATTAGGGTACTAATTAAGATAATTATAGAATATCTCCTTAGTATATAAACTAATATAATAAGCCCTTATAGATTATTATATTTAACTTAAGTTACTCTTATAAATAATTAACTCTTAATTATTTACCTTAGTTTAACTCTCTTATATATCTATAGAATATACTAAACTTACTACTAGTTTATACCTACTTTATTATATTACGCTTTATAGCCCTAGACTAGTAACTAAGTTTAATAAGTATAATCTATATAATAGGTAAAACCTAGTAAAAACTAGTAAAGATTATAGTAAAGATATTTTATAAAGATATCTATAAAGATTTTTATAAGTCTTTACTAAGTTTTACTAGTTTTTATAGTATTTTTATAGGTAATAATATAACTATACTAGTAGAGGTAAGAAATATACTATTACCTACTATATAAACTATATAACTAGTAAAACTTTATATAACTTTATAAAGATTTAATAAAGATACTTCTTTGTAAGAGGTTTATAGGTAGGAGTTAAATATAGGGGTAAACTAGTATATTGAGACGAATCCTTAAGGAGCTATCGTGCTCTTAAAGGGTTCTATATATCTAAGGTCACGTGCCCAGCCCGGTAGTACCCTAGCAGGGTTCCGATGGGGCTCCGTAGCTTGGCCGTTAATTGTATCGTGACATTCTTAGTAGTTTATACTCTTAGGTTTAGTAGTTTTTATAATATTTTATAAGTTTTTACGTATTATACTATAGGTAATAGTATATTTTAGTAGGGTCTTAGTATAGTAATTAGCTTACTTAGATAATTAGCTTACTTATAGAGTACGTTATAGTCTCTTATAGTAGTAGTATTATATTTTATTTAATAGCTTAAAGTATAAGCTATATCTAAGCTTTATTTAATTTCTATTATATATTATATTATTAAGGTATCGCGTTTATACTATAGGTAATAGTACGTTTTAATAGGGGCTTAGCACACTATCTAACTCGCCTGTGTGTCCGACTCGCTCGTGGAGTACGTTACTAGGTTACGCGCTATTGTAGGCTTTGCGTCCTAACGCTTACGCAAGGCTGAGATTAAACAAAGACCTCCACAGTCCACTGAAAGCATAGCCGATATCATAAGACCTAATTCGGATGCTCCAACGACGATTGACGCTGTCTGTGAGGAGCAATCGGCGACCGGGCGAGGCTATGTGCATGTGGCGTTTGGGGGCTTATTCTTACAGTATGCGATTTGTTCCTCACTATTATCCTACATACACATTAACCATATTTGGTTACTTTAAAAGCACCCAGGCCGTGGTCCAGCGGGCGAATATGCATGCTTCGTCTCCAGCTCAGCGATCGCGGGGTGGAAGTCGAATCGTATAAGACCCTTTGTCGACTCTGGGCTTTCAGGCCGGAGCTTGAAGCATGCCCCCCGTATCCTCGTCATCAACGCAGCCTTGTACATTGATTTCCATGCCATAGCCCCCCTCCTCGTTGAACAATAGCTCTGATCGCTCGTTGAACCCAGATACTGTTATTTTTGCGCGCACGCAGCCACAACATCAACATGGCGACAACACCCTCCGCCACGATTACGGCAACAGATTCCAGATTCATGGGCTGGTACATTGGGTCCACAGGATGTGCGTGCCTGCACCCGCACTCATGCCGAAGAATACCAGGCTAAAAGATCGCAGGGGCGACCATGGCATGTTCGCAAAGTGATGAATTGTACTTCGAATCTGGGTCGTACTTCGGGTGCCCTACAATCTACACTGCTTGCACGAGCGATTCCACCGGCCTCTCGCGAGACAGCAAGATGTACTCAGGATGGTGGGTTCCAAATAAAGCACTTCTATCTGTGCACTTTCAGCTAACTGTTGCATAGTACCTCAGATGACTACTCCTGCATTACTCAAACAATGCACTACACTTACCCCGCCCCGGTACCAGACGATAACCAAAAACTGAAAGTTCTATGCGGACAACATTGGAGTCAATATGAACTATATCGAACGCTACCAACGAGCACGATAGCGAGTTCTTCCATCACCTCTATAGTGTCTTCAACGCCGAGCCCCATTCTCTCTAATCCCACAGCTTCCCCAACTTCTCCAGCCACTACAATATCGCAGACCCCGAGTCCAACATCCGCCCCATCAACATCAACAAGCCCAGGCGTCATCGCGGGTGCAACAATAGCCGGCGTCGCATTACTCCTTGTCATAGCATTCTTAGTGTGGTTTTTTGGCTTCCATCGTAGGAAAGCCGGGCCGCAAGCAGGACCAGCTCAGGTGCAGCAGCCCTGGCAACAACAACCCTGGGAACAACCGGAGCAGCAGCAAATTCCTGAAGCTGATTCAATCGGTGTTGCAACTAAGCATTCTGGACACCAGTACGATGCAGTACCACAGGATCCGGATGGCACATGGGCGCATCAAAATACTCATGAAGTTGGGGAGCTTGCAAGTGAGCGGTGGAACGGGAGGTGATATGATATGATGGAAAGTGCGTAAAAGGTTACACTACACTTTGTACACATCAATGATCTGTATCGTCGAAAGCGGATCCAAGAGCGATCGTTGCAGGCGAGTTGTCTTTTCTTCCAAGCACACGACCAGTTCCTCATCGATAACAGGATCAGGTGGCTGTGTTCCTTGGGCATACGGTGCAATTCCTCTAAGCCGACTGTAGGTTGAAAAATCCATTGTAGGTGGTAAAGCGGTGATGTTCTAAGGAGTAAGGCAAATTTAAGGCAGTCGCAAGCGACTGCATAGCGCCTGAGTGGAAATAGAATGTCAGCCTTAGGACGACAGCTTTCTTTTTGACGCGTATGCAAGAACTCAAACATAGTAGTCTCTTCGCCTCACGAATGGACATAAAACCTCATCCATCATTGTCGTCCACGCGATGCGGACCAAAAAAAATCAGTCCAGACAAACAATAATATGTTTCCCCACTCGCGGAAGCAGTATTCGGATAAGACCAGATTTGCATGGGTGCCAACAAAAACTAGAGTCCCTTGTTGGTGGCGAGATGGTTGTAAAAGTGCAAAAGATAAAGTGTGCCCACTCGCGGAATCGCTACATTACCGTTAGCTTCAAGAATCGAACTGACGAGTTTCGGCCACACTCACAACCGCGGATCTTCGCATGTCGGTTAGATACGAGTGCGACGCTGTACCACTAAGCCAAGCGGGCATATCTCAAATTGATGACGTTTTTCAAAGTTATACACTATATGTACTTTATTGAACGAATTTTGAGCAGCACTGGTTGTGCATTTAGCCCGTAGTGGAATGAAAAGGGATCTTAGACTTACCCCGCAGTTACGATCGGGCGGAAAATTTGTGGCTCCAGTGTAAATGACTCAAGACGACACATTTAGCGAGATGCCCGGAACTCCGCCGCAATTAGCATTCGCATGTGCTCTCATTAATGTCGCACGATCATATAGTCATCATTGCGAGCGGAAGTCTTTTGGATGCTAACTTTGTTGTTACCTAGATTTGCAGACTTGATCGCATGACTTCTCTCTCTTGTCACGACCACAGAGCTTTTCAAAGGTAAGGCGCCACCTTGCCACTCTCAATTTGTTCGACATATTTCTCGTATGTACCGCTAAGTTATCAGATCGCATGTAGTCGACGCGTCGTGGATCACAAGCTGACAGAGCCCCAGGACGATATGTCATCTTCATTTAGTAAGAGTCCCGATTCTATGAGGGATGGCGTGAGCCCAGGTCTCTTCAGGAGGCTGCGCGATATCGACAATTGACCAAGGCCCGGCCTCTCTGAGAGTATGTTCTGTGTCCCTGCACAACTGGCAGCTTCCAATAATATGTGGCCAAAACAAATTCAATAAACCTGACAAAGATGTAAGCCGTGTGTATTTGAATATTTTGAACAAGTATTCAGCCCACATACCTTGATATAATCTCATTGCCCTGGAACCCTTCACCTGCACATGCTCGTATAGATACCATCGCCCGCCCTGCTTGAGATACTGGTATAGCTCAGCTATGTTTTTCTCGGGTTCGGGGATGCTACATAGGCAGAGAAGTGAGACGACGCAGTCCACGCTTTCCTTCTCGATGGTCGTTGTGCTGCCATTGGTTCCGTTCACCTCGAAAGTCGAGATGGACTCAATCCCTCTCGGAACAATTTCATAAGTGTCTTCAAGTCCTGCACGATTTGCCCGTGAACGAAGGCCCGCGTGCGACTCGATGTTTGGCTCAATGCCATAGACCTTGACATTGCGGTTTCTTCCAACACGGCTTGTGACACCATCCTTCCCTTTGGACTCTTTGACATTCGCATACAGATCCACCCAAAATCCGACACCCGGGCCAATGTCCAACACTACTCCACCAGCCGGAGGCGTTACAGGGCTATCGACGACGTGGCCTTTTGTCACACGCCCCTCCAGCAGAGCTGTAATGAGGGGTCCGTTGCGTTTTCGGATGTTAGCGCCAGCCAGGTTCCAGAACGCGCTGAACCAGGCATGTTGTACGTTTCCCCATGAAAGAGATTGGACTCCTTCCGTTCGGGATAAGCGGCCAGCCGTGCCAGAAAGGCATGATAACGAATGGTACAAGAGTAGCCAGGGAAAGAACAGAGTCCAGAATGTCTCGGTGATTGCCTCGAGCATATTCTGTCGGTGATTCTTTTTGTCCTGTCCTCTATAAGGACACTAAAACACCTGCCGGGCGTTAAAGCTGTTGCTGATAAACTTTGCGGTTGGAATGAGAGTGGGATGAGATGATGAACTTTTGAACTCCGGTGCTCGACCAAAAAAGAAAACCGGAACCGATATTGGAGGCCTCCCAGCGGCCTCCGTGACTTATAAATCCTCCAGAAAGCAACTAGAGCGAGATCGGATAAACTCGTATTGATGCAAGAGCAGCCTGACTAGGCACTACCTGTGCAATATTATTCGGACAATTCCTGAGGCGCAGACCCACAATTCTTACATGTGTCCCAAACAAGTAAGGCGCGCGAACAGTATCAGGTTGACCTCGCCCGCATAAATTTCTCTAGCAAATAGCAATGCCTCCGGGACATATCCCCTCCCGAGCTTGAACCCATTTTAACTAGTCCCAAAGACGACATCGCCCGCCTCAATCTCGAATATCTACCGCGCACTCCAAATCTCCCAAGCCTTCTTTGATTTTTGAGACGTTCGGCCAAGAATGATGATGGTAATTCTTCCGCAAGATGCTGAAGGATAGTGTGTTGGGTTGCCCGACGAATACGAACGATTCGACCTTTATGGGTTCATGAGTCAATTTGAGAAGAGGGAGAAGGAATGGCATAAGAACCCGCATATGTATGAGGAGCAGGCGGAGATCTTTAGGAGGCGGACGGCGACGGACTGTGCGCATAAATGCCAATCGCGGGGTTTGCTATAAGTTGAATGAATTACTTGAGAAGTCGGTCATGTCTTTGGATTTGTGATAAGATAAACGGTCTGAGTCACCAGGAGCTCATATGTCGGTATTCAAGGAATATAGATTCGAAGCTCTAAAGGAATTTTGTCGGTGCCGTCGTTGTTTCTTCATCCTAACGACGTTGACCAGTCTACACAGGTGGTTCGCGTTTTACCCGCTTCTTCCCTTCGAGCTTGAAGAAGCGCATCGTCGTACTTTGACCCAAGGCATATTCATCATCTACGAGTTGCTCTCTTTCTCCTTCACTGCTGCTACTTGTATCCTCCACATCTACAACTTCAGGTTTGCATAACCCCATGCTAACCCACAGCCTCTTCAGTCGCTCATCGAAGATCGATGGCATCCAAAGGCAGCTCTTCAATTTATCTAGCAGTAGTTGTAAATTCATTGATGCCAGTTTGAAGCTTCGATCGGAGACTGCGGCGGGAGAGAGCTGCATGAAGAATGAAAGTTCAGGCCCAGTGGAGGTGGATGCCCTTGAGCCTCTCGGAAGGGTTTTTGCACCAAGAGCGCCCATTGTGAGTGTCCAGAGCAGCATATCGGGAGCGTGTGACCAGTGATGTAGAGGAACCCTCTCTAGGGCCAAGTGGAGTTTGTTGACGGTTTTAGAAAGGCGCGAACCAAAGGAGAAAGCATTAGGTTCTGTAGCGTTGACTATGAAGATCAGGAGTGCAAGGCAAATACTCTCATCAACCTGTCTGGTTTCTTCGTTTTGATTATTGGTATGCTGCTCGTGCCAATCGAAGAGCCGATACATCAACAAGCTGGCATGTTTTTGCAACTCAAATGAGTCAACGGGACATATGCCAGTCTCGTACCAAGCGGTAAGATCGGAGATGAAAACGGTGATTGTGGAAACGATATCGAAAAGCCCTGGGTCTAAACGAAGATTGTGAAATGGCCGTAAAATGTGCGTGAACGAAGCTGGGGATTGGAAAGAGTGTCGCGTATAGTCTTCAATCTGACCGTGGGCGTCGAGTAGTAGGGCGTACGGAGCTTTGAACGTCGTGATGGACTGCGCGATGCTATACCTGAGGACTCTAGTCAGCCGCTTGTAACGAAGTCTGCTAAATCATAGGGTGGTGTATTATGACCGAAAAAGTATAGTGAGATAGTTTCACCCCGGTAGACTTACATCAATAGGAAAACCTGCAAACATCGGTTCTGACCCAGCGCAGCAAGGCCGCCTCTTTGCCCAATCATCGTTTTCAGCCCATTCAAGTGTGCTTCTTTCACACGCACACTACACCGTCTCTCGTCGCCCTTCTTCCTTGGGTCCGCCAGATCAGCCTCTTCGAGAGCGAGCAGCATTAATACGGTAGCGATAGTTGTATCATCAGTATTTTTATGCGAGTCTGTCAGAAGTCTATTGACCTCTGCTATGGCGCGCCATTTGTACACCTCCGAGTCGAGACTGGTCGCTCGTGCTGAAGAAGTGAGGACAGCGTAAATGAAGGGTGCGCCGATGGGGCTTTGGATACAGGCCGCAACCCAGTCTGTGGCTGCTACTTCGGATGATCTGTGTGGATCTATTGGAAGCAAACGAGGTGTTGTCGCTTCGACGACTGATCGTATGATTAGTGGCTGTGGCGAGCTTGAATGATGAAGAGCTTACACTGATGGAGGAGACGTACTGAACCTGCGTCCAATCTAACTGCTAAGCAGTCGAACGAATCCGCAAATCCAAGATTGAAGCTTGTCCGACGTGCCAAGTCCAACCGCTGCTTGATTAGGAAGTCGTAGCCATCGTCTGCATGATCAGACGCCACGCAAGGGCTGGTGGATGTCGACGTGGTACTCTCGCAGGCCCAATTGCTGCTATGACTAGAGAAAACACTATTGCTCCTGCTACTACTCGTAGATATAACTGAATGCTTTACCCATGATGCTGAGCATGGACTGCATTCCAATTGGGCTAAACAATCGAGTTTTTGAGGCTGTTCATTGCTTCTCTGGGCCCGGGATCCCGATCGACGCCGAAGTTTTTCACTTGTCAAAGTATCGGTCTTTGGGTTCCTAGGTCGAGTACTCCAAGGCTTCTTATTACGAGCCGACTTCATAACGAAGGATCGCACGACCCTATCTGGCTTCGCATTTATACCTCCATTGCTAGAGTCGATGAACATGAAGGTCTTGGGACGCTTTTCCTTTCTCGAAGGCGGAAGGCTGCGGCCGCCGTTGTCGCCATTGGACTCTGGTCCCTTGGTCTGCTGTGCAAGCATGATGTCTCAGTGACACGCCGTTGGTGGAAATTGGACTTGGCGGATCCGCAACTGTAGGGTGATGAGCATTGAACGTTATGGGAAGGAAGTTAGGTTCGGAAATGCAAAATATTTGTGCAGGGCGAAAAAGGAAGTTCATAGTCGCGAAGGGAATGCTGCTTCAACCCGAAAGCCTGGACTTTGGCTCCATGCGCTAACCGTGTTGGGATGTGTCTTCGATGGGATAAGGAAGGGGCGACCAAGCTCCAAGACCGTGGCTGTGCGGACTCGACGAGCCGATCTGTCATAGGAGAGGTGTTGGTACAATGAAGCAAGCTTGATAAGCAGTCCGAAGGCGGTGCAAAGCATTGTCGTTCTAGGTCACAAACCGATAAATTGGAGCTGGTCATCTTGCGCTGGAGACAATCGAACAAAGATAGGAGGTAGACGATATACCGAGCGTCAAACAACGGCCAGAGCAATGACTACTATAGGCAAAGTATTAGTACGATAATGCATGCCCAGGGATGAATCTAGAGCAAACTTATTGG